CAGTGCAGGGAAAGGTACTGGTGCTGTGAAACACAGCTTTTCATCTAGGCAACCCATGTTGCTCATTTCAGTTTTACTAAGTTGGGAGTGAGTGGTCCCAGTTTATTTTGCAGTGACCATGTGTCCATACATCAGCATCTACAACGTTATTTAGACAGAATATCATAAATAACTAAGTCCAAGGTCTAAAATTCCACTTGGTCCACAACTGATAAAAGCTACACACTGTAATTTGTAGCAATTAGAACCTAAATGATAGGGGAGAGGCAGAAGCTGATAGAAAGATAATGCCAGAACACTCTCACCTTTCCTCCAAAATCAAATGCTTTCTATTTAGCCACTGCTGTAGCTAAAAAGATGCCTTGATAACTTCAGATTGCCACCTCTAAGGGACAGGGAAACACAGTAGGATGTAGGACAGATTAGCAAAGTCAAACTTTTCTTTTTGATCTGAAGTCAAATTCAGTTCCTACTGAACCTGCTGACTTTACTGAGAACAAAGTTGAATCCATGCAGTAAAGCTGGAATTCCTCAGCCACAGAATATCCACCTAAAGCGCAAATGCATTGTGCTAAGTGCATCCACAGTGCTTAATGTATTCATAAAACTGAATATACCGACAATTTGTGCTGGCAAGTGTGTATCACTCATCACTGTCAATGTACTTTAGCTTTATGTGATTTGAAAACTAGCAAGTTCAGTCCGTCAAACTAGGCATATCCAACTGTGCAAATTTTTCATTAGCAACCGCCCAGTAGGGTAGGAAGCTGCGGTGTCACTCCATTGAACACATCCCTTCTTGCAGCCACATTAATTTTAAACAAAATGGATTGTGGACAGGTGGTCAATACATTTTCTATAAAAACTTGGCGCATTTAAAGCAGCTCATTTCATGAGCCACAGGTTACTGCACCGATGAACTGACCAAATTTCTGAAGGCATCTGAACCATGTTTTCAAGAGTATCTAGAAACATAGATTCCCACTTTTCACTGTGAGTTATTTTGTCTTTGTTCACTTCTGCCCTAAGCTTTAATTTCTTCTGTTTTCCCACATGTGGGGAGGTTACACACGAAAAACTCTTTCCGCCAAGATGTGATAATGCTCCTTGCTTTGTCAAAACTGACGCCCAGTTCTCGGCACCAAATTATCAAACCAGAAGCTCTTGTGCTAATGCTGTGATTTGTATTAATTTGGGAATTCTTTCGTTCTCACAGTGATGAAGGAACAAGACTCGAATCCTGCCCTGAGAGTCCTTGTTCCCACTTCACCCTTCTCATTTGTGAACAACGGCAGAAACAGCGAACTGGCTTCAGTTATGCCTTCCCTCAAAATGCAGAACAAAGGTGTCCCTTTACGAAGGCACAGAAAGGAACGGATTCTCCATGAAGGTCAGTATCACAGAGGCAAATGTCACACCTGGACAGACAAATAGGAGCATATCGTCTGCAAGAGGCCCATGGCAGAGCTGCAGGGGTATACGGGGTCCAGCTGTGAGCACCCGACTTCGAGATGGGCTGACAGGGACATGTTTAGGGGTGAACACCATAGACAGACTCTCTCAAGACTTTGGACACTGTCCTGGAAGAGAAGAGGCAAATGCAGATGTGACAGAACAAGCTTCAGTTTAGTTTTCTCCAACAGAGTAAGCACCAGCTTGCAGGACAGAGTGGTTAGTTTTCCTCAAAACAAGTGGCAGAATGGCTCAAACAAGGACTTCAGCGTCTGTCCACAATTTGCAGTCTTCCTTAAATAAATATTGATAAACAAGGAGTACTAATTTCATTTCAAAAACAAGTCTGTGGTCGATAGAACGCCGAAGGTTGGGCACAGCAAATGGTTGTGTCACGACTGCACGGTCCCTAATTTAAGGAGGGCACTGCAGAGTTCCCGGTGTTCTCCAGCACTTCAAAAGTGTAGCTAATGACTGACAGCATAAACAACTTACTCATGCATGATTTGTGCCCATTCTAGCCTAGACATCGTACTCTCTCTCAAGTAAGCTGAACAGAACTGTAACGTCCTTCCTGAAACATTGACTCGCTGGGGATGTGGAGCTAGCAATAAACGTTGCAGATTTTCTTCAAATAGAATTTCTCTGGCTTTATTGCTTCATTTAATTTAATTGTCTTGTCTCCTCTCTTTTCTCAAATGCAGCTCTTGAAAACGAAACAGTTCCATCTCAGGCACACCATGCTCCTTTGTCCAAATTCATGGGTACGGCACAAAAGTAACTGAAAGCAGAACCGACTGAGTTTTAGGAAGTAGTTTACAGTATAGATTTACACTATAGTCTATATTGCTTGTTACTGATTTTCCTGTTTATTATCAGGTTATTTGATGGCAGGTGGTGGAGAGCAAAAAAACGGTGAAAGTTACATAAAACATCTGGGCCAGATCCCCAAGGGTTATAAATTGTCGTCGTGCCATTTGCAGGCTCTGGAGGACACACTTTGGCAAATCAAAGTGCCCTTTGTTTTCTAATACAATCCTGCTGCACAAAGAGACAAGAAAAGGGATTTATTTATTCTGTAGCACTGTGCCCTTGATTAACCTAGCCTGCGGTACCTTTTTCAGAGAAAGAGCTAATACCAGCACTGACTTCAAAGTGCTGCTACGTCTCATACCTTCATGTTCATGTATCATTTGCTTCTCTCAAGCCATTTTCTGTCAGCAGAGAGGCAAGCAAGATGTATGCTCTGGGTGAATCCCATATCATCATTAGCAGAAAATTACACCAAACTGCTGTAAAGCAATTATGCAGCTAAAAGGTGAGCTGGGAGGAAGTCAGTGATTAAATACTCACCACCACAGTCAGCCCACACTACATAACATTTTGTTCAGAGGCTTTCAATGTATTTTCAAACCACTGGCCAGTGCCATGGGCTGAACTGAACCTTCACTCAGGCCTTGAGAAGTATGCTCAGATATGCTTGGCCCTTTTTCATATCGAGTGAATTTTATTTTGGTATCATATAGTACAATACAGGATAATAGTAATTCTTAACTCTTAGCTTGAGGTTGCTCTTACACCACCAAGCTGATCTCACCAAAATCTTTCACGCGTTTTTGCAGAGGTGCTACAGTTACAGCAATTCATCATGGTCACACTGCAGTGTAGCTATCTGTCATACAAAGAATGTGAAAAGTGTGAAGGTTTAGAAATGATGGGATCTGAATTACCTCAATAAAACTCTGCCTGAGTGGAAGACCTTGGAGCAATGACTGAGGAACCAATAATAACATGGTACTCTATATCTTCCCTCCAAATGATTTTAAACACCGGTAAGCTTAGTCTTTGACATTTCTGTGAGAAACACATGTCCATGTTGTGGATAGTAATTTTGAAGCACTGAGATATTATCACTAATAACCAACTTTATTAATCCTTTTCCAGAATGGATCAGCACACCCTCTGGGACAGAGAAAAGATGCAGTCCTTGTCCCGAGGGACCCACCAGCAGAACATCAAAGACAACCACAACAGATGAGACCACATGAGGCAAACAATCAGTGGGATCCATAGTTTTATTCTGCATTCAGCCCTCCTCTCCCTGTCTCCCCTAGCCTCGGGCTTCCTGCTCAGCTTCCTTCCTTCGACCCACTGCTTCCCCTTCTTCTCCCCATTCCTCCTCTCCTGCACACCCTGTTCCCAAGAGCCTAGTAAGTAAATGGGTTTTCTAATAGAGCCTCCAAACACGACACTGGAAAGAGGACAGCTAACAGTCAAATCCTGCCTCCAGTGTTGTGGGCAGCTGCTTGGTGACTGCCGATATCGCACTTTGCTTCAACACACTTCCACTCTCTGTGCACAGTCACCCACACATACAACTCCCCTTTACGGGGGCCCAGCTCTTCTGAAATCAGTCAGAATTTTATCACTGATTGAAATGGGAATGGGATTAGGGAACAGATAGCACAGTCTCTATGTGTGGCTGACTTCAACGTAATCCAGCAACGCAGTTCGGGTTCTGGCACCATTCGATGCCCTCAACTGCTGGCTGCACAAATAGGAAACACAGGTCTGAATGGTCTCTGCCGAGTTACCACCACCTGCACGTTCTCACCTGGGTTAGGTGCACCAAGCCCAGCAGCTGGGGTTTCTACCATTGAATCTTTTCACAAGTTATCCAACTGTCACATGAAGGTTCACTTGACCCCAAGGTGGCTACGTCTTGCAAATCTACTCTAGTTTTATTACAAAAAATGTGAGGAAGGTTTTTTCAAAGAGCTGTGAAATGCCCTCATAGATTTAATCAGAGCTGGGCCACTAACCACAAACTGCACCTTTGGAAAACCTGGCATTTGTTGCAACTTCTAACTCCAACAAGTTACAAACTTTTGCAGCTTTTAATTTCCAGGACATGTAATCTGTGACTTCAAGTGAAAAACACCTTTAGTACCAGCTCTTTGCTAGCCCTAAAGCTATAGATGATCCAGCCACTTTTTAACCTGCTCTTACGGAGGATGGGAAAGCTAGCTTTTTTCCCCTCAATAAATGAAAACTTTCATGCACTGATCACTGTTCCATCCAAAGGCATACTGAATATCAGCAAACAGAAGTTATTTTACGGAGAAACTTTTGCATATGGCTTGAAAGAAAGCCCAGAAAGAACTGACAATGATAGATGATCTCCCTGGTGACATTCAGGAATAATGCAGTTTCACATTTATATCAGGGAAAAACAAGCAATGGACATATTTAAATAATCATTAAAAATTAAACGCCTGACACAGGGCAGGTTTCAACCCTGTTCTACTGCACATCTTCTGGAAATCTTTAATGGATAGCATTTGAGGTCTTCTCATTTGCTTTGCTCATGAACAAAAGCTCTGTAATGGAGGTTCGAGCGTATGCGTTATCAGCAAAAAAGGCTCTCTCAAGGGAAATCGAGTGAAAGGACATTTTTCTTGTCTTCACATTTGACATTCAGGAGTAGTGATGAGATAAGGTAGGCACAGGAGTCTTTCAAAAAGCCACCAGATAACAATGGCAGCATTTCACAAGGATGTGAACCGTTCATCATCTGCTGCAAAGACTCCATTAACGTGGCCTGCTTTTAAATCCAGCGCTTCGCAAGGAATCCCATTTTCTACTGTTACTGTCACTTCACCTTTCTCTTCTAAATTTTCTCTCTCTGTTGACTCTTTATTCTTTCTAAAAATGAGAAAGAGAACATCATCTTACTCTGTTGACTTGCAGCACTCCACCACAATTCCACAGACAGAAAACTGCACATTTAGTCAGAGGTTACTTTCTGAAAGGCATAATCTGGTGCACCTCTTTGCTGTCGTAAACATACCACAGAAGGTGGGAGGCCCACAGATTGGAAACTCTAGTTTAGTGGCTTGGGTCTGGACTGGGAAACAGAAAATCCAGAGTCAACATGTTGTAAGTACGTTATAAATACTACTTCACCTCCTTACTCTGTAAAACAACTGGAGGGTGCAGAAGGAAAAGCTGGTGCAAAATAGAAATGGAAAAAAATCTCTAAATCTGTCTTTATGTCAGGAAGGACTGCACTAAACATCTTGTCTGACCCTGTTATGCATGTCATAGATTTCACCCCATGATGTGGACAAATTAAAACATACTTTTTAGAAACAGATTAGCTTTAGACTATAGCCTCCAAATGTGGAGACTTAAGTGCCCTCACACTCTTTGATGATCTTCTCCAGAAGTTCGATACTCTTAAAGCTGCAAATGTGAATTTTCAGTTCAAGCTTCATTAACAGCCACCTTCCTACCCATTTTATACTTCTGTTTTCTTGATCAAACAACTGCAGGGCTTTCACTTTTCCAGACTCCAGTTCTCACCTAAAGCATATTAAAATAGTTGCTGAATAAAATTATCTAAAAATACAACCATGAGAAGATGTAATACAGAAATATCAGTCAACATGTCACAATATTCCTTCATTCCAGATTTATTCTGACCTTGAGATCTACTAGTTCATAGTTGAAAAATCTGCTGTAGTTTACAGCCTGCAGCATCAGCGGTTTCAGAGGATAAGAAACTCAAAGGTCAGCTCCACTGCTTCTTCCTATCCTGCAACATGTACTGTAACAATCTGACTCAGGACAATCATAACAACCTGAGCCAGTGCAACTGCTAATAACAGCAATATTAACAATAATAAAATTTTATTAGTCTTTGGGAGATTCTTGGCACTACAGACTTGCTAAAAGTAAATGGGGGGGTAGTAGTGGAAACCTCTGACCTCTGGCTGCTGTATCTGCTCTTACAGTGATAAAAGGAGCGTTCTTTAATACAAAAGCCATGGGGGCAGACCATAAAAGAAGATACTAAGAAGCAGGTTCAAAAGAAATGAGAGGAGTAGGAGATGTGTGGAACTCATATCAACTACACCATATCAAGGGAAACTGCTCAAGCTTAGCTGAGCTATTTTGAAAATAGAGGGGGGGGAAATGCTATCTTTCAGCCTGATATGAAGCACAAATGATTATTTCAGCTAGGAAAATCATAGCTATTTAGCTTAATTTATTTATACTACACTTAATTTGAAATATTCAAAGTGCCCCTTTAAGTTGGGCACTACATAGACACACAGAGCTGTGATACTACACAGAGGGCAGGTACGGGCCTCAGGTAGCAGCATTATTCTCCAGATTTACAGAAGAGGTTGTCTAGGTTCAGCACATGAAATAACTCAGGCCATAACACGTCAAAGGTTGTGGCAGGGTTTAACTATCCACAGATCCCAAGTACCTACTCAGACTCCCCAACAGCATCTCTCATCTTTTTTTTGAAAACAGAAAGGGGTTTTGCAAAGTCATGCAACTGTTCCAAACGCAAAACGTAATTGAAGGCATTCTGACTACACTACTAAGGGTTCTCTATGAGAAGCACTTTTCCTTTACAGTAAGTGTTGTTTCTCTGAGGTCTTTTAACATTGTTCTTCAAGGCAATAAGGAGGCAGAAAGGAAAAGTCTCTGCAACACATGACTTTTCATACACGAATCCCTTGTTCTGATATATTTGGGGATGCAGTGCAACATACAGTTGATAATTTTAACATTATCTAGTTGTCAGCAGAAATTTAAGCTTTTCCAGTTCTTCTGCTGTTCCTGTATGACTCAGTTGTTGAAGTCATAATTCTGTGTTAACCTAACCTCTGTGGCAGCCTAAAGCACGGCAGAAGCTGAACTTCTATGGCAGAATCTCAGCTCAGCTGAGAAATTTCTGTTCTTTGTGCCAACTCTGAGCCAACAGAGATGGGAGGACCAAACTCCACCTACTGTCTGTCTTGCTCCAACATGCTCACACTGGGGAAGCATGAATAGCCTTCTCTTTTTCACTAGTGCCACTCCAGGGCAGAAACTGAAAGGAAACGAGAGTATCTCTCTCCTACCCGACTGCCAAACAGCAAACACATAGTCTCATGGGGAGATCTGGTCATGAACCTATTAAAGGGCTGGGTAGTTTTGACTCATCAGGTCTTGAATGGTAGGTTAGACCATGCACCGTTCCATTGAGCAGGCCCTCTTCAGCCATACATTAATCATTATTGTGCCCTCTACTGAGGCTTCTCAAACTGCAGCAGCAAATGTTTTTTTAGCCTTGACAGCTTTTGACACTACTGCCCTGGAAGTGGCACAGTCACTGCCAGCCTTCTCCCTCTTGGCAGCTATTTGGGTAGTCTGTGTGAGGACGCCCACCTGTGGCACACTAAACCTTGAGAAGAATGACAGCAAATGTCTTTGTAAAGCTATCATCTCTAGTTAGGTGGCCTCCAGGATCATATTCTTGTACACTCTATTACCTCGTTACATCCCAGCATTATGAAGGCATCTATACCTCACAGTTAAAAATTGTAACCCCTTTCCTTGGAAAAGGACACGAGGGTTTTTTTTACCTATGGAGGGAGGAGGGGCATAGCTATAATTTCTCTGAGGCTGATCTGAAAAGGAAAATCAGGCCAGCTGACTTAACTTGCCAGTATTCAGTTAGAAGAAAAGCTAAGCTGCTTACTTCTTGCGTTGCTGAATCCCTGCAACAATGAGGAAAATGAGTTCAGCCACAATGAGACAAAGAACAACACCAAATACGATAAGGTTGATTCTGTTCCGGTTCATCCTTCGTAAAAACACAAAGAACATGACAACACTTCATAAAGGTATTTTATAAGTTAAAAATATACAAGAAAAAAAAAAAGGAATTTTCATGTATGTGCTGCAAGTCTGTCCAGGCTGAATTTGATCCAGCATGATGTTGGTAGGATTACACAGACCTTCAATTTAACATAGACTTTGTCAGTAGTCCACAGACAACCACACATTTACAGGGTTTTGAACACCAGATTTTTGTATGTATTTATGTGAAAAACTTGGAAATACAGATGAGACCTGAAGTACAGTACCATTAGTTATTTCTAGTTTGGACCATGTGCTGAAGACATAGCAGGTTGTAATCTGTAAGGGTGGCTCTCTTGTTCTTCTCATGAAGCATTCAAGATTAGCATGGGAGTGGCAGATCTACCCTGCAGTGCTCAGAGGATTTACTTATCAGTGCCCCTTGGTTCCTCAGACTGAACCATCCTGCATGTTATGGGCCGGTACACATGCTCTTACTGTTGTAGGTTTTCTTAGGTCCATGAGGCACAAGATACAATTTCGTCCAGGAGGATCCACCCCTATTCCCAACACATCCTTCTTCCCTGCAGGATGCAACTAAAGCAGTTTGTGCTTTGCACATTTTTCCATGATGAGAAACTGTAAGTCTGAGAAACACACTTTTTCATTTGAGTAGTACAATTGCCACCCTTTAATGGATATCTTCACCCACATTCACTACTTCTAAGCATTTGCAGGTATTTTTGGATCTGAATCTAAGCAGCCTTAAGAAGCTTTAGCAGAATCTTTCATTAGCTTTTTCAAAGTGTTAAAAATATCTGAGAAAATGTATTGCACATAATGGTCTTGAGAGACTCTTTTTGACTGCAGTTCTATGATTTACAGCAGCTCTTTCTTGTATACAATTCAGTTTATTTACCATAGAGCAAGTATTTCCTAGGAACAGATATATGGGAAATACAGGTAAGATTTTTGCAAATTTCTTTTCTTAGAAATCACAGTGTTTGACTGTTCCTTAAACAGGAAGTTCTTAGCCTTAATGGAAAACTAGCATTCCTGGAGAGGACTGGAAGCCATGGCATATTATAAGACTCATTATACAGTAAGCCATCTTTGATTTAGAAAAGATTTTCATCCTTATTGATATGAAAGGATCATTGTGAACAGCTGAAATAAGCATTGTTCACTCTCATCTACTGGCTGGACTTACAAAATTATGTGCTGAAACCCATGCAGGCAACTACAGGTGCATTTCACATTTGTATATGCATAAAAGCATTTTGTGTATATTTATGCAAGATCTTGGGTCTCACACAGAGCTCTGAGAAGGTTTACCTTTCTCTTTATTCCTACTTTGTAGAGAATCTCATTCAATAAAATTCTAGTCTACGGGTAGTGTTCTTATGTGCTACTATAGCGTGAAGAACTAGAATAATGGTTTAGTATGGAAGCCTGCAATCCGAAGCAACTGAATAAAAAGTATTGTAGTTTTATAGACCGTTTAATTTCTTGTTTCTAAGTTGGGTAGGAATTGAAACTTTTCATAAATAGCATATTCTTTATCGGGTGACAGACAACAGTCGAAAAACAAACATACTGTAATAGCATCCAATTTCTGTGGCAAACAGGGCACATAAAAGACTTAAATAAATCAGCTTATGCTACTGAACATATCAAATAATAACAGAAATGCAAAAACCCTGCATTCCAGCACTCTGTAAGAGAGCTTTAGTGAATAAATAATCTGCTTCCTCCACTAATGCTATGAAGTTATTGTTTTGTGCCTCTGTAGGAAATAGTTTAATCTGCTCACAAGCTTAAAAGTTAATCTTTCCAAAAGAACGCACACTCATTCATCAGGAATTAGGCATTACACCTCACAGAGATAACATGAATTTTCAAGACAAAGTACAGAATGCCAAAAAACAAAGAGGCCTGTTTTCCACTGCGTGCTTGAGAAATGTACGTGAGCTATGCTCCTGGTGGAAGTCATCCCTATAAACCCCTTATGTAGGTTTGGTGGACCACTGAAGCCAGATTACTCATTTTTTTCTTTTTTCCCGCTTCAGCTCCACACTCTTGCTTTTATTGACTACAGAATGCGACAGTAGAAAGCAAACTGCTTTGTACCACATGGTACTTTGTACAGGCAATGCTCAGCTACAATATCAACTGGTGTTCTAGAAAGAGCTGGCATGAAAAGAATGTGAGTGCAAGATAGTTTAAGCCAAGCTGAGACACAGCCAGCTCTGCTCATGAAGAGTTCACACAAGCTCTTCTCATGTGAAAGCTGACTTCTAAAATAAGCCAGAACCGTACTTGAGAAGCACTGAAAGGGAGCCTATGGTCATTAGTCCAGGCGTAGATGTGCATACAGCATGCAAGGCAAGTTAAATGACATAAACCCCACCCAGAAAGCGTGCAATTCCGTCACCTGAGGGAGGAGGTTCTCTCGCTGGGAAATGTAGCAGCTGGATGAGAGCAGTGTATGTACCACGGACTGGGCAGTAAATTACAGGTAGGGCTCTGGAAAGGGACCTAGATTTCTTCTAAGGCTCCAGCATTAAGAGAGGCTCCTTCCAAAGTTATAATCCCAAGGCTCACATGCCTTGCATTCTGTGGGACTGTTAAAAATCCTTCTAATCTCACATGCATGAAAGACTACTGACCCCTTGGTGTTTTAACTACTTGGATTAGTTCATCCTTAAAGAGGCAGAGTTCTCATTCATACAAGACCCAGAGAGAGAAAGCATTCTCGGTCAGCAAGGAAGAAAAGGTTGCAGAAGCAGTGACTGTACCTGATGGCTGCCTCTACCTCACTTCCAGGAACAGCTGTCATATTTTTGGAAGAATCTGTGACCACAAACCAAAATGACACCCGATCTGTCACATTGCAGAGCAGCACATTGGAAATTCTGCAGACAGTTAAAACAACAATCATCATTAAAGAAGCATGGAAGGAATTATTGAAGTATTTTATATTTTCTTAAAATAGTGCTTTCATCTAAAGAGAGAAAAAGTTCTTACTTTTAAAAAAGTTAACAGTTAATGTTCAAGGAAGAAATATCACTCACAGCGTTTCTCATTTCCCAATAGGATCAAAAAAAAGGTAAGCTTATTGAGACCAAACCTGAGTCTTCAAACATATATCTGAATCTATTACAAACTTGCATGGTCTTGGATGTACATTTACTGTATTCAAATAGAAAAATACATATTTGCATCTTAATGATCAGGGCTGTGACAAAGGCCATGTAATGGGGCAGATGCTTTGGTGAACTCAGAATTTTGTTTTCGACAGCTAATACCACAGGAACCAGGCACGGGGGATTCCCCACATGATTTTCAAGTGAGCGCAGTCCTTCTACATGATTCATTTGTTGGAGGGAAGAGCAAATAAACTGATGTTATTGTTTTTGACATCTTTGTTCACAGAGTGGAGGCAACAGGCTCAATTTAGACATTCTGCTGGCACTGGCCTATGCCCTTTAGCTTATGCTATGTCAAATACTTCTCTGTTTTAAAAGAAGACTGCTCAGCTTTATGTGAAGTTAATACCGGAAGTGCACAGGCACGCAGCTTCTCATAGCACACTAAACGTGTGTGAAATGTCTTTTAAATGCCTTTTTTCAGATTGTTACAAATGTGTTTTCTACCACTAGTATTAGTAAATGGTGGAACTATCATCAGAAAAACCTCACAGAATGACACCATCATGAGTACTTAAACAAAAGAAGTGAAGGCTAATACATTAGTGTCATAACGGTGACTGAGGATAGATGGTGCCCCTGTGTTCTTTTATCTGTTCCTAGTTTATTCACACAGCTAAGAAACAAACCAACCAAACTCATGTAATACTCGGGGATTGTGTAAGGTGGCATTTATTACAGCATGGCAAGGAACACAATGTGTATCATAAAAGGACAGCCAAAGCCTTTATGAATTTAATGACAGATAGCTAGAGAGATAAAAATGAAAATAAATATTTAGTTCCATATCATCGATAAATAAGCCAAAGGATTTGGCTCAGGATTCTGATTTACTGGCCAAGCAGCAAGCAGATATTCTGAAAGTCCAGGACCAAGAATTAGGATCATTTTTATTTCCAGAAAGCAGCCTGGACTTGATTCACCTTTGCACGAGGTCTACCTGGCCACAAGCACAAGACAGCTGCCGTGTCGTGACTGATGCCACTTGGGGTGATCGGTCTACAGACGCTACCTGCTGTTCCGGAGGAGCAAACCCTGCAGGGAGCCAGCAAAGAAGAATGTAGCTCCTCTTTTAATTAACCACAGTGATGTCTATAATGCTCATTACTAACTAGTATAACTGGTTTTAAAGTCTGGCCTGCCCATCACCAAAAGGCAAGTCGTTACCACTTCCCCCCCAGCCTGTGCTGCCTCTCGGGTGACGAAGCCCCGGCCGCAGCCGCCCCCCCACGCCGCAGGGCTCTGCTCATTAGTGCCACCTGCTGGCTAATTACAAACGGAGTTCGTCACCTCCGCAGCGGCCTGGGGAAGGGGAAGGACCGTAAGAGAGCCAAAATTGCCGATGCAGGTGTAGTCCCCATCCGGAACAGAACGAGCTCGCTTTTAAGGCAGGACAGGCACTGGCTTGATCACAGTAGTTCATTATGGAACATTTTGCAGAAATATTTTACTCACTCTGAAAGCTTTTTTGGGTGGTGTTCTGGGTGCCTTGGGTAGTGCAACCTTTTGTGTTACAGAGAAGGTATGTATTACAGAGAAGGTATGTATTCCATAGAGACAGGCAATCAGATAGAAAACAATGATTTTGCAGAGCTGAAATACACGCTTTTCCCTCTCTGGAACAACATCTATTTTGCAAATACAGAGAATTTTTACGGATAAAAGAGGAAAGCCATCCTCTGGAATTTAAAAAGATGTTCACATCAGTTTGCTGGCAACAGTCAGAAGATAAAAGCAGATTTATTCCTCCCAAAACAAAAGCAAAGCACAGAATTTACAGAAGGGGGGAAAAAAAGAGTCTACTTTTGGCTGGTGGCTGACAAACTCTTGCTGACTTCACAGAATATCTAAAATTGTATCTGCAGAGGAAGTTTTCCATCAGGAGAATTTATAACAGTGGGACCTAAATCTTCATGCTACTGCCATTTTTAAAGCTGGAATTTCTGTGGTGCAATCAAAAACTGGTCCAGGTAGAAAAGCTAGGTTTGTGTTGCCCTCCAGATGTTCTCAAAATGGGATAAGTGCAGAAAGTTTGATCCCCAAAGAGAAAGATAAATTCGGTAGACAAAGACTGGCAGAACACCCTGACCTTCTCATTCTCGTTCAGATTCAGAGACTCCTCAAGCTGGGGTCTTCCCTACAGCGTCAAGGGCTTTCAGCTTGAGACAGGGCAGTCGGTCACCATTTTGGGCAGCATTTCTCTTTCTCTAGAACGAACAGTATTGAATCAGTTGGGCAGCAAGGCTCACACTAGGATATGTAAATTTTGCCTCCCTTCTGCTCCCTGTTGTGTCTAAAATCCTTGCTCAGTTATAAGCATCCAAAACCTGGCTTCACTGCCACTTTTTCGTAAGTGGGATCTGAGTGCTGTAAATCCTTCCAGGCTCCAAAGAGAATAATACTGCTCACGAGAAGTTCAAAGGGGATGGGGTAAACACCAACACAGGCTGGTTCAATAAGCACCAATGCAATTTCTCTGCAGCAGCTACGCCTTTTTTTCCTGTACTATTTGTGTGTCAGTCTGATTGACAGCAGGAAGAAGCATCAAAAAACTCTACCTTCACACTGTTTAGATTTCAGAAACCTGACTTCTTCATGCACTATGCTAATTAAGTGTATCTGTAAACATGTAAGTAGACATCTTTTTATTTCCTTAGGAAGGCTGTTATTGTCAGAATAACAAGATCCTGGTCCTGGCCTTATGGCACCATGGCAAAAGTCCAAAATTGCATTTCCTTTAATATAGTCAAGGGAACATTACTGAGTAGAGGGCAGGAAACCCTGATGGTTCCTTGGCCTGAAACACCACTGTTGCTCCTTATGGAGATTTAAAGGATTGTTCAGGTGTAAGAGCTGCCAGAGACTCAAAGGGAGCTGGGTGCCTACGGTGGCCGTTAGCTCGTGGGAGAACCGCAGCCCCAAGTCCCAAGCACCTATCTCCAGCTCTCCCAAAAGCTTCAGGCCTCTTCCAACCCAGCGCTGCACAGCTGCTCCTGTAAAGGAATGGTATTTTCTTCCTTTTTGTTAGCAGCAGCCATGGGATCACCTTGACATAACAGCTTTAACTCTGGAAGCTTATTTTGTTATTCTAAATGGTCATAAAATTTTTAGTATCAAAATAGTCAGTCTTAGGAAGAGGATAATGTTGATTAATTTTTTTCTGGTCACTTCATGAGGAAAACTGCAGCTTTTTTTGTCTACTAACGGAGGGAAGATGTATCAAAAGTAGATTCTGTTACTTGAATGACAGTAAATGTGATGACATTCTTTCTGCTCTAAAGATTAACCAGCCTCAGGCCCAAAAGAGATGCATATTATTTCAAATGAGTCACAGATTAGAGAAACCAGGGTTACTAACACGGACTACAGACAACCATTTTTAACACTGAGAGATCAAAGGTTGGCTTACGTTGTTCATGAATGTATGTGGTGAGATTAATTGAAAGGCCGTATATAGAGCAGGATAAAAAGGATTTTTCTTTCTCCACTGAAAAAGAAGTATTTATTTTATCTGTATTAATAATTACTGAGTAATTTGATGGATTGTGTTTGTCTTCTGTTTCACAGAAAATTGAAAATTTGACAAGCCTTTCAAACATTAAACACAGCTCCATGATTTATTAAATTTTAGCTTAGAAATTAACTTTAGAGAACTCTAGATGTAATGTGCAATCTTGGCCATTCTGCGTTGGGTCACTCTGGTTACACAAGTGCAGCAACAGCATCAACTGCTGTTTCCAGCAGCACAGTCAAATGCTTATCATTACAGGCTGGCTTTTTATGCAGCTTCACAAGCCTCACAAAAGGTGACTTTGAATCTCAGAAATTATGTGACAGGCTGCAACAATGGTTATGCTGATCCACCAGACAAATTATTCTGGGGTCTGATCCGGCTTGCTGAACTTAATGGCATTTGGTCTCACGTGGGAGTTACTTGTGGCTGCGAGTTACTGCAGAGCTGTGGGTACGTTAGAGATTAATGGGATGTTGAAGGGGAGGTTTGTCACATCTTGGTTATGGCCCTGTGCAGAATTTATACCCTGGCAGAACCAGTATTTGGTTACGTAAAATACTGGTGATTTTTTCTTAAGTCTTTATTTTGACAAAAATCTTTAATTAACTAGATGCAAAATTTGGGTAAATTTATATGCTACCAGAATGCAGTCACAAGCAATTTGTTTGTTCTTTTTTGACAGAACCATTGATCATTGATCGTTTACAGGTCCCGAAGAAAATCTGTTGGCCTTTATCTGTAAAAGCTCCTTCAGCGTAAGGTAATTTATTTGCCATGAGCTCTTGCTTCTGCCTCCCTCTTCACCACACTGTAAGCCCCTGCCACTACACTTACCAGCTATGTGAGAGCGCTGCTCCTGCGTGCACAGCATACTGCAGTACCCTCTGGGATGCTGAGGGCTCCCACACCTCCACAACCACTGCAGAGGGGATGGAGATGGACCACACTCCTTCCTTTACACCCTGTTCCTTCCAGCTGCCAGCCACAAGGGTGGGGAAAGGAATGCAGTATTTCCAGGACTTCTAAAAGGATGGAGACTTTCATAGCTTTCCTGCTCTCATGTAACAGGCAGGTTATTTGGGGTGTATTGGGAGGTTCAGCTAGCTCTCCGTCACTGAACGAGGACTCTGAGGTCCCCTGGGATTTGGGAAACATCTATGGATAGGAAACTCCTCAGCCTGTTGCCTAGTAAGTCGTACCAGATCTCACAGCTGCACAGCTGCCCTTTGGTTGACATGCTGTCTACACATGACCTCAAAGGTATCTAAAAGCCCTAGAAAAGTTATCAGTTATACCTCCAAGGTACACCCCAACAAGTTAGACCCCACAAGGAAGTCCTATACTGTCTTAAAAAAGAGGTAAAGATGCCCACACCTAGCTGTTTCCAAATATTATACTGACTTCTCCTCTGACAAACACAGAATCATAGAATCATAAAGGTTGGAAAAGACTTCGAAGATCATCAAGTCCAACCATCAACCCATCACCACCATGCCTACTAAACCATGTCCCAGAGTGCCACATCTACACATTTTTTGAACACCTCCAGGGATGGGAACTCAACCACCTCCCTGGGCAGCCTGTTCCAATGCCTGAACACTCTTCTAGTAAAGAAATTTTTCCTAATATCTAATCTAAACCTCCCCTGATGCAACTTGAGGCCATTGCCTCTTGTCCTATCGCTAGTTATGAACACAGTACTCCAGGTGCGGCCTCACCAGTGCCGAGCACAGGGGGACTATCACCTCCCTACTCCTGCTGGCCACACTATTCCTGATACAAGCCAGGGTGCTGTTGGCCTTCTTGGCCACCTGGGCACACTGCTGGCTCATGTTAAGCCGGCTGTCGACCAGCAGCCCCAGGTCCTTTTCCACCAGGCAGCTTTCCAGTCACTCTTCCCCAAGCCTGCAGCATTGCATGGGGTTGTTGTGACCCAAGTGCAGGACCCAGCACTTGGCCTTGTTGAAACTCTAACAGCTGGCCTTGGCCCATCGATCCAGCCTGTCCAGATCCCTCTGCAGAGCCTTCCTACCCTCGAGCAGATCGACAATCCCGCCTAACTTGGTGTCATCTGCAGGAAATTACCGATTTGTGCTACTCCACCTCCAAACTGGAGTATTACTGACCTTATCACATTTGCCCACAGGAAACATTGTCTTTGTAGGAAACCAAATTAAGTGAGCATAAATCCTGTCATTTCCAAGAGTAGATAGACATAAATGCTATTAAAACTTTAACTCCTTTCATACTGGCTTGATTTTTTTCCCATTACTGCACCATGCTTTCTAATATTAGTTGAGTCTGCAGAGAGCCATGGTGCTTGAAGAGGGAAAGATCACTGGCTTCTGACACATATTTTTGCTGTGTGAGAGCACCATAACTTTGAAGGAAGAGAATAATTTTTAAAAAGTATCTGGGACTAAAGTATGCAAAAGCAAATCTTTATGGATCAGATACTGGATGAAAACTCTGCTAAGTTGAAAACCTGAGAAAAAGCCCTGCGTAATCACCTTTAATTAGCTTGTATCTTAAACTCATTTTTCAAGTGTCATTTTAATTGGGTGCAGTAGCATACTTGGCTGGTTTTGTTCAGCTTGGTGTAATGGCTCTCTTGCTCAAAGGAGACAACTTCTGAGGAATAAAAATGAAACAGAAAGGAACCAAACACTCCTGTTACATGGAGGGGGAAACCACCTTCTATTTAAGAGAAAGTGTGGCAGCCACAATAATTATCATGTGACTAAAGTTAACTAATATCATTGCAAATGTGGAATATGCTTCATCTGATACAGTGGCAGCCTGAAGCAATTTTTTTTTTAAGTAAATTGAGAACCTTATCCTCATTAGCCTACCAGAACCATAAATCTTTCCTTTAAGACTGAAAAACAATGAAAAAATAATAGGCCCATGGAAATACACCTACAGGGTTTCTCATTTAAGAATGATAAGAACATACTGCAAATACAGCTTGCTAAATGGTCTGTCTAATCTGGTATCTAATTCCGTAAGTACCAAGGATCAGAAGCCTGAGAAGAATGTTCAGTACCTCAGAGTACATTTAATCCCAAAACCAATTAAAGGCTCATTTATGTCTGAACTGCAACATCTGAAACTTCTTGATGCTAGGTAACTCAACCGCTGCAATATCAGGGATAGATAACCCCAGCAGAACACAGCACTAGCATAACTATCCACCTTCCAGTTCCTTAAATCAGCTCATCTTCAGCATACTGCTGAAGCTGTGCTCTAAGAAAACGTGCACCAAAGCTGCTCATTCAAGGATCTGTACTGCATTTCTTGGCCTTGCCAATGTGTCCCTTCGCCTCCTCCCAGTACGGTCTCCAGAAGGTATCACGTCTTACTGCCAGATCCTGCTAGAGTGAACTGAGACAATCCCACTGAGATCCACAGTTGTGTCACTTCGCATCAATAGGGATACTGGTCCAAAGACTGAGCATTGCTTAAGTCAGAGAGAGTGTGACGTTTAACATATATCTGGGTGTCAAAGAAATATACTGGAACAGTCTGTTTTTAGAGGCTGTATATAATGATTTCTAGAGCTCAGTATAGCAGAGAATGTGCCACAACATGCAGCATTGTTACTATGTATAAAGCAAATCAGAGTAGCTGCTTACTGAGTTGCGCTCTTGCTGGAATATCTTCTCATTGCAAAAGCCACCATTGCTTTGAAGAGGTACTCTTCATTAGCATCCCAGGCATACTGTAAAGGAAGATGGAAAATAATCAGTTTCAGCACCAGTGCTGGCAGTACAGAGAGGGAAAAGAGTCACTGAACTTGAAATGCCGTATTGATCAAGCAAATGAGTAAATTCTCTGGCTGCACTATGAAAATAAATTCCTGCCCATTATGTAGTGTGCACAAAGGACTTTTTCTAATGGCTATTATAAAGTGGAATATAAAGTGTAAATAATGTTTCCCAAAACTGAATTAATTGAACGTTCTGAAAACTGACCAAACTGGAGATGTAAAGTTTCTTGTACCAAAGACTAGGCATATTACTAGAAATCTCCCCACATAGCTGCACCCATGGCCTTGCCTCTTTTGCTGGATAAACCCTGTTCAAGTAGAAGGTTTAAATCCACTCTCAAAGACCATTTGGCTTTTCCCAAATATTTAAAAAAAAAAAAAAAAAGCTAATGTTGAAGGTAGTTTCTGGGAGTTGGATGTCAGGACACTAGGAAATAAAATGCGCTTATGGCCTTATTGCTGCACGCCATCCTTGCAACAAGAAGACAGAGTCAACTATAGTACGAATTACTACATGGCATGTGAGACAAAAGAAAGAAAACAGCATCCATACTATTTCAGTAAGAAGTAAAATACAGGCTCCAAAAACTGTTCTCTGTTGTCTTGATGAAAAATTGTGGTTCCCTAATCTCCATTTTCTGAGACAGCTTCACTAGGTTCCCCTGAGCTTTCATTCACATATGCAATTCTAATGACCTATATGAACTGCACCTATTACATTTTTATAACAAGAGCCATGACTGCGCCATACTGATTGAATTTCTCCTTTCAGCAGATTACAAAGATTTCAGCAGATTCCATTTCTTGGAATTATATTAATGGAGGTTAGAGGCAGCTTGCTTCAGTCAGTCAGAACACAAATCTAATCTTTAACTTTCAGCATTAAAAAAATCTGCACTGTAATCATCAGAAACAGAAGCCCAATGGCGTGGATGCTTAACCCTGTTGACAACTTGTACCCACTTTTTCATGGGCCCTTATATCACATTCAAAAACCACCAATGTACATCAAAAAGCAGTAAACAGCATTGAAAATGCCAAATCCTAATTCTGGTTTTTAAATTCTGATTTCGGATGCATGGAGCTGCAACCTCTCTGTGGAAAGATGCACTTCCAGGCATCAGCCCTCATTTTGCTCTGACATCCTGTGGATTGGGAACATAAGCAGGGAAGGAGGGAGTCATTTAAAAGGCAGAAAGTCATACTGATCATATTTATCATCCCTAGACAAATGATGAGTTGTGAAATGGGCTCTCTGAGATGTGGTAGAACAGGGACAACAAAGCTGAGCAACAGATAACTTGAGTAGCATTAAAATCCAGATGCAGTGGTGAGAATCTGGGTTCTGACTCACCACTCTTGCGCTGTGAATGAGAGAGGTGTAAGCATACTGTAATAATGTATGCCAGTCTGGGAACTTAAACTGAAAAAAAAAAAACCAGACTCTTTGAAAAGAAATCATAAAAGCCTGTATTTTGATCCCACTGCACTGATGAAAACATGACAGTAATGACAGCAACTAATACTAAAAGAAAAAGAGATAATGTAGTAGAGCAATTAATATAGATAAAAGCCATAAAACTATTTATCATAATTTTAAAGACATCTATATTTAAATCACAGAGCACAATCTGCAGCACTAAAAGGGAAGATCTTCCTTTTTTTTGTATGTAGTACTATTGACTGAATTCCTACATGTGCCATCTGCAGTGTTTGAGAACAGGTCCAAAAGGACAGAAAAAAATCACTTGTTATCCAGTGGATTAAACCAGCTGTACAGATAATTTAATCAGTTATCCTGAAAATGGATGATGAAGCAAACTCAATTTCATGCTTACATGGACACAAATGCAACACAGCACTACCAAGTATATGTGTTTGATGTGTCTAGGTTTAGGGCAGTACGTGTATATACGCACAATTCGTCACTATCAGGTATTCAGTTTTAATAAATAATGCAGTAGCCTAGAGCTTCTTTAAGTCAGAGTAACAAAATGGGTATCTTAAAGCAGGGAAAATAATTTGTATTGAGGAACTCCAGCCTCAGCTGAAAGAGTAAGCACTTTAAAAAAAAAGACAGAATAAACAGAAAGCTGCAAGAAATGGCAGGGGAAGACACGCAGAGAAAGCTCAGCAGAAATCAGGGGTCAGCTTGAGTGAGAAGATGCTGCAGACAGCCTTCTGGGCAGAAAGGCAAGAAGCCCCAGTAAAACAGTGATCAGACAGGAGGTAGAGAAGATGGACAGGGCTGCGGGGTCCATATGAACAAGAACCTCTGTACCTGCCTGCATGCAGGAATATGCAGAGGAGAGGCAACATAATGAGAAGGAAAACTATGGCAAGAATACCTTCAAGCTAATAAACTCTATCGGCTCAGGACAAACGGACACCAATTGCCAGAAGACAACTTCTAATCATCAGCTTCCTCCAGTCAGAGGGATGGGTGCAAAGAAACCTGAATCATTTTACTATGGGGCTTTATCAGTTTCATCTTTATCCTCCAATTGCAAAGGCCTGGACTGCAGCTGATGACTGTGGGAGGATGTTGCTTCTGTTCTTACGTTACCATGAAGTGCAGCTATCGATGCACATTTTGCTGCCATAGAGGAAATGTATTAAATATAATTTGCAACCGCACACCATAAACATCAGATAACTCTGTTATCAATGAAACCTTACATGACAGTATCAGAACCATTAACGTCTTCTTTGCTCTACAAAGGAACAAACGCAAAGACCTTGGCTCAGATGCTCTTGCCATTCTTTACATGCTAAGGAGGAGCAGACTTTGACACAGCTGTCTGTGAAAGACTCTCAAGTGCCTGTTTGTGAAAGAGGAGGTTGATGAGATAATGGGTAAAAGATGATGAGCGCAGATTGTCAGTGGGATGAAATGCTATAGCAGTGCTCTAAGGAAGACAAAATTTAACCTAGTAGAACAAGATTGTAATATTACAAGATTGCCCCAAGCAACCTGGTCTGATTCCAATGTCGACATGGCTTTGAGCAGCAGGGGACTAGGGACCTTCCAAGGTCCCTTCACTCCTAAATGGTTCTGTGTTTTAACTAGACAGCCATTCAGACGGCAGTATGGCAACATATACACAAACGCAATTCTGGGTCCCTTCTGGTGGCAAGACACCAAGTGCATGTCAGCCTTTCTCCCCTTCACCCTCTACCCTGGAAACAGCCTGAATACATGAGCCACAAGGGAAGCACACCTTCTGCTTCACCTGGCTGCAGCCCCTGAGGTGCCAGCTCTTTGACTCTTACGGTTGAACTGAGTGGTGACACAGAGTTATACAGACTTCTCCATGCACATCACTTCTGCTCACTCCCCGGTTGTCTGGGGCTCTTTTGAATTAACTCTCCACCACTCTGCTAACTCCATGAGTAGGAAGCAACTAGTGACGAGCAGCTACTCCAGAAGCCAGTCATAAAGTTAATACCATCCTCAGAGAGACTCATAAATCACCCTCCCTCTATTTAGCCTTACAGACACCACTTTTCCTCCCACTGGTTAACAATCTGTCAAATACACTCATTATTTGCAAATAAAATGATAACAGCTAAATACCAACTGTATGTTACCTTCTCTTTCCAGCTCACTGTGATAAGAACTATATAAACACACTAAATGGCACCCCTTGCCTAAAGGACAGCCTACCTTGTGAACAAATTAACATATGGTGTCCTGTCTTTATCAGCCTCACACAAAGTAGATGGCGTGCACTAAACTCTTCAGAAAACTACGCTAACCTATTTCCTATGCCCCTGAATGTCCACTGGAGTTATCTTGCCAGTCCTAGCAGAAAATGCTCACAGCATCATGGTTTTCTGTTACCATCTAGCTTGAAGTGACTTTGAAATGAATGAAACTGAATTCAACAGCAAAGCATCATACCAAGATATCCTAAGATCACTGTGTCCCACTGTGATACAATGACAGTATTACCCTTTTCTTTGCTAAAATAAATAAAATTTAAAAAGTGTTCCAAATCTTCAGTGAAACTGAATTTCAGTTTGATAGTATTCTTCAGTCGTCAATTTCAGTCATTTGCAGAGAAGATTGCAATAGCTATGAAAAGGAACTATTACCTGTGCACTTAATAAATTTTTCATTATTTGTGGGTACTCTTGTATGTCATTACACCACTTTCAGCATGCTGTTGCTGTTCTAAAATGCTGTCCTAGATTGTCTCATTCTTAGGGCTTTCACACACTTTGTTACAGGAAATAAACTACTGTCTATCTACAAAAACTAATAGACTGCTCAGTTATTGCTTTTTTCTTGTAGTATAAAGTGCCTTTAAGATTAATAATTTGTATCATACCCTTTTGGATGAAAAATAAAAAAATCACAAATGATCAAACAAAAACCCCTTTTACTGTAGTTGGAAAAGTAAAAAGCACTAAGAAACAGCATTACTGGGAACTGCAATTTTCATTTTTTGCAACTATTTTGAGCCAGGATTAAATCAAAATATTAGCAGTTATCATTAAGAGGAGTTTCAATAATGATTATGTCATATTTTCCGCCATAGGATTACACTATTTAAAATAAATTGTTAAACAAATCAGGCTCTCACTCAAGAGAATTGAGTTCAATACGAATTTCCACAGACAAATACTTTAGAACATATCTTGAATATTTCTCCACAGTTTGTCTAGTTTATGAAGTTACCAGTGGAACTAGGTCACTGCCAATGTTAGTTTAAATTACCTGATATTTCAGGGTAATTTTAGAATGGCTTCTACAATCATAGGGAGGTTCTCATATCTCCAGTCTGTTATAATACATAACCTACTGCTTCTTGTTTCCCAGGGGTCCTAACATAATCAGACACCAAGCTTCAAGTAGAGGTACCTGTCCAAGACATTTCACATCTAATTTTATGCTGAGCCCTGTAACACACTCCAGATTTGCTCTAAGCATTCAAAACTGCAAACAAAGTACTGGGCTCTGCCATATTTCATAGCACTTCAGATCAGGAAGGACCATTCAGTCATCTAACATGCCAATCTCTTATGTATCACAGACCTCTATTGCTCACACCAGTACTTCTATATTAAGCCCAAGGACTTGAATTAAGCCAAAGCATTTCAGTCCTCATGAGACTAGCCTGTGCACCACAGGCAGAGAAGAAAGGCCACTAACCGAAACCCTACATTAGCAGGGAATTGATGAGATATGCTTGAATGACCTCTACACATCATGCTTGTCTGAGAGCCTGACATAAAGTCCCATTTCATAAAGACCTAATGATCTTTTCCTGCTTCTCTTCCCAGACATGCTTGACTTCACAATTAGCACACTCAAGCAGAAGTGCTTTTCCCAAAATACAGACTTAGATTTATGCAGCACCTCTCATGCATAAAGTGTAGCATCTCTAATGTTTTTTGATGGAAAAAAAAAAATCTTTGACACAAAATTACCTTTAAGAAAAGGCAAGCTTTATACTTCTCTGTAAGGATGCCATTTTAAGGAGTGGACTAGTCAAATGGCAAGAAATGGATGCCAGGATTATGACTTAAGCAAGCTACTACAATTAACGCTTCAGAACAAATCGCGTGTGCTGCTTTCAGAAATTTTACAGTACGTGTTACTTCTGTTTTGGCAGATATTCAGTTAGGAAGAATATGTGAAGAGACTTTACTTACTGCATTATCTCCCAAAGCTGTTTTGATGCTAAGTCGTACTTTGAAAGCATTCTGTGCATCTGACACAAAGAGAAAAAAGCAAACACATATTGAAGTCAGCCAAAATAGGATTTTAAATAATTTACTTCTCTATTTCACAAATCACAGCTTCTAAACATGTCCTAACAGATCACCTGGTCAGGCGAACAGAAGTTATTAGCATGAAAAAATGCCACAGCCCTACATAGTCTCAGTGAGGTTTACTATGACCTCTTTAAAATATGCGAGATCAACTTCTGTACTTAATTTGCAAACTCATAAAAGAAGCGAATGCTCAGCGTCTCACTCTTCAAAGTGCAGACTACCAGTAAAAATAAAAATCTGAGAAGCTGACAGCTTTCTAGGCATAAACTCATAGCTACATTTGCCTGGGAAAGGATGGGAATCACCTCCAGAACCTACCTGGCTTGCAGAGCTCAGCATGACCAACAGCAACTACAGAGAGAATAAGCAGCAACACTCGTAACATCCCGTCAGCGTGGAAAGGTTGAAGCAAAAAGAAGCCAGTCTCCCCTGTAAAGCACTCTTAAACTTTCTGTAACCCAGGATTAAAGCATCAGCAGCACAAGTGAGCAACCAAGTAAAAGGTTTAATAATTAACCCCATTATTTTAGCTAAAACAGGCACTAGAAACAACTGTCCTCTGTTAGTTATTTACTGCCTTTCTCTGTAGTAAAAAAAAGGCTGTAACAAGTTTTTAATTTTCCTTTTTCCTTTTCAGAATAATACAAAACTTCACACAGCGCTCCAGGCCAACATTTTTGCCCCCAGACGCGATGTCAGACAGGCACACAAGATGTCTGTGTGACATCGCACCAGAGCAGCTGCCGACGGCAGGGGTGGGACATCATGCGGTTACCCACAGCAGGGGAATTGGGAGATCGGCTGCGCCCCGATCTGGGCCCACAGAGGGCCCCTGAGGATGAAGGAAGACTGGGCACCCTTTTCATCCCTCCAAAAGAAATGTGTGATGAACGCAGAAGCCACCTCCTCAAAACACAGGGCTCCAGATTTGCCCCTCATTTGCCTTCAAACTCACAGCACTTCTGAAAGGCAGACCTGGTGGCCCCAGTGCTGTGTCCACCTTCCCAGTCCCACTCCCACATCCTGGCTCAGGAGTTTGCCTGAGCCCAGCAAAGCAAATGCCTGGATCCACACACACACAAAAAAAAAACACCGCTGAGGCATTGCTTTGCACAAAAACAACAGTTATAAAGGTGGAGAACTACTTTCTTGCTGTTGGAGAATTGTTACGGTAATAACCGGAGTAAGAAGAGATGCAGTAAAAGGACATCAGAGGAAGCATATTGAAGAAGGACATATTCTCCTGTTGACATGACGTGCTGTGTATACGTACATGCACACATGTATGTTAATATTTTAATGATCCACATTACACTATTAGCCAAATGTTTACCAAGACAAAGAAATAAATGCAGAGGAGAAAGAATTCAGAAACTGAAATGTATTGCAAGTAGTTGAACAGTCTTTGCAATCTGGGCAGCAAGACAGGATTATTTTATTCCACTCTGCTGCTGTACTCCCCCTGTAGCCACTCTGATTAATGGTTAGTTCCTACATTGAAGATTGCCTCAGAATTACTTTCAGTTGGTCCTTTAGCACTGAGAAGTGTGTCCTGAGACTGCAAACCCAAAGACCTTCACAAGAATGACTACCAGTGAGAAAGTTTTACTCAACTGCAGGACTGAATTTGTGGAAAACTGTCGTGGTTTAACCAGGACAAAAACAATAACCAGTATTTACTATGTAACAATACTTGGACTTTCAGGTACCAGAGAACTTACTGTTTCTCTAGTTTAATCTTATTTTTCGAAGCCACTGTCAAAGGAGTTGATAAACCATCTTTAAAAGTCATTAAATCATGCTGATTCCTGGGCATCTGTTTACTTTTGCTAGGCAGCCAGCTCTGAGCACAAAACTATTGGACACATTATCTGCCTAGATGTTCAATCTATGCCTACGAAAACAAAAAAGTGACATATTCATTTCTAATGATAGCTTAAATTAACACACTGTATGTACACGCATCAGAAGGAGACCACTAAAAGATATACTGATGTATAAAAGACTACCAATTTTCTGTAACAACTGTAATTTAAAAAAATCTCAAAAGAATGTGAATGTAATCAGTTTAATGCTAAATTCATGTGTGTTGCTTCAGTAACACGAATTTGAACTTTTTTTGTACCTTTGGAGAAAATACTGGAGAATTTAGGAAGAGAGTGGAAAAGCCAAGCATTGTTTCCTTGCTGCCAGAAGGCAAACAGAACCGAGCATCGATATGCGGCATCACCATTTCTTCCTGCTGTAAACCACTGTAAATCAGTTCTCTCCCTCAGAATCACATGGAGCCGGTGTCAAAGTACATCAGAGGCACATGACACCCAGCAGAAACAACCTCAGAGGACTTGACTGGATTCCCTGACCAGGGCTGCTGACTTCCAGCCAGGATGGCTGATTTTCCCTGACTTTTGTTGCTGGCAAGCGAGCAAGACAAAAGCTTTTTTCCAGCGGAGAGGGGAGAAGGCCAGGAGAAGCAGCAGCGTGACAAACATCCCAGCTCAGAGCTCACAGGGGGAGCACCGTGCCGTTGATATATACGTGCAGAGCAACTTGGATGCGTGCCACATCCATCCAGCTGACTGCCCATGTGCTTAGCCGGTTGCATGTGCACAGAGCACTGCACATAAGCAACCAATTGCTGCACACCTATAAATCTTTTTCCAAAGCCAGCATGATTTCTAAAGAAGCCAGGTGGACAAGCAAGCCTAGACCAGGGGTTAGTGGAAAACTAGCTTTTCAAATCAATTACATTTTTAAATACTGTCTTAAAAAGCATTGTAACTTTTCAGGTTACAAATGGAGTGTATCAGCATAATCTAAAAAGACGGACATTTTGACACTTCATATCTTTGTAATAAATATACATGCATGGATAACTTTCTGCCCGGTCTCTTTTTTCACATTTTGGCAAGATACGCAGCACTGTTTTAAGTCTGTCTGCATTTGTTTGTCACTGATTAATCAGTCAGGCATCAGTTTGCTTGAACAAATGACTATCTGCTTGCATATATGCGAGGTATGTTTTTAATTCAGTACTTTGTGAGGTATTAGATTTTTAAATAGTTCCTCTTTTATGGTAACTTTGTTTTTCCTAACTACTGTCAAGCTACGGGTCACAGCCGTGCAGAATCTCATACATGGTCTGCATCCTAGAAGTACCATTGAACTAGTGCAAAGAACTATTGCTTTTCTTGTACTAAATGAAATTGTCTGTATGGTTGAAAATAACAGTATCTTTGCAATTTTTTTTTCAGTGGTTGTGAACTCCAGATGTTCACGTATTATCTGTATGTATACACTTAACAGTACACTATAATTTGGACTTCCAAACAAATCAAGAGAGGACTGAAGTTTCAAGACAGCACATGACTTGGTAAAACAAACAAAACCCTTCCATCTTCTTGATGTGATTAGCAATGTACTTTTCTGCTTCTTTCAATGTCTTTGAAATGGAAAATCCCAGAAAAGTAAAAAATTGATAGCTATCATGTAAGTTAATTAACAGCTATGGCCAAACTTAACCTCAGTTTTCAAATTTGATAAATTAAGTTTTGAACTCTGAGGAAGTTAATCTTTAGTCTTAAATAGTTGTGTTCAACTCTTCTGAGGAGAGTCAATGTGCTACTGTCAGCATTAGTTGCTCATGGAAATGTACCTGGAGGACTGCAGGTCTAATTGTACACGGTGCCTTGCAGTACCCCGGGTGCAATGGGAACGACGAAGGCTGCACTCCTGCTGCAGACTTCAGAAGTCGGTGAAATTAGGATCTAAGCGAATGTCAGTATCACCCAGTAAACCAGGCTGGCCGATAGAGGTCCAGCCTAAGTCTCATTAAATCGGAGTTTTTCCAGTAACTTTGGAGGGAGCAGGGTGTTGAATGAGGCCCATAACCACTGTGATCATTGTAACGACGCAAAAGTAACTGACGTCACGGAGTGTTTTATCAGTGCTCACAGAGGCAGACAGCACGTGGGAAATCATTTACCTCTTGAGACAGCAGCGTAGCCATTAGGCAGCGGGCGGGGGCAGGATACGTTCTCTGGAGTTCACTTACATTGCCTTCAAACGTGTGCATTGCAGCGGAAAGCACTGAGCATCGCCCACAACAGGGCTGGCACTGAGAAGAAACAGCAACTTCCAGCGCAGAGGGGATGGTGCTGCTCCCGCCACCTCGCTAATACACTCACAGACAATCTGCAGCCCTGAAGCCTCAACGGAAACCGAACACTTCTCATCACAAACCAACACTTCCTGAGTGTCTCCTAATCAACACGTATCTTCTGAGTCAACCAAATCCATGCTAGTGATATATTGCAATTTCCCACGTGTTCTCCTACATCCATTTTCTGCACCCAGGAAAATAAAAGCTATACAATTCCATAAGGAAAGGCATTGCTCTTCTACTGAAGCATATGGCAAAAATTATGATGAGAACAACTGTTATGTAATCTGCATGCCTATAAAATGTATCTTTCTTTTTTCCCCATGGGGCTTGAGTGTACAACAAAGAGAGCAAACATTTCTTATCTGCTTATATGCCAGTCCACACTGGTAGCAAATACGAGAGAAATGGAAACCCAAAGAACCACGTGGAAACGAAGCGCAAGTGTGTGCTAAATGGAGCACCTGTACTCTTGCTCAGAGCTGGTCTACTGCGTATGCATAGTTCTGTGGATAGATCTTACAAGACATGCAGAGATTTACAATGGAATATGTATGGTCTGTAACTTCAAGTTGGTTGACAAGAGTTTCTCTGTTCTGTGCTATTCTGTGAAGCGTAACAGCGCACCTGCTATCTACCCCCACATGATGGGGTTCACGTAGTACAGGTATATTTTTCTTTCGGAAACATGTGAGTTCCACAAACTTCTCAAGGATTTCCACAAAAATAAACTCTGCTTCAAAAGGCCTGTGGTCTCTACGGTGTTACCCCTCTAGGTAAGGGCTAACAACTACTGACCAGAAAGCTACATTGCTTTGGATCTGTGAATGGCTCTTGCCTGGAATGGCCATATTTGTTTCTTTCTGACACTGTATCAATTAAATTGCACGGAATTCTGCACCTATAGTTGAGTATCAAGCTTTTGTTATGTGTATAAATTAATAATAATAAAATGGTGAAAAATGCAATTATTGTATTCCTGTTTCAAAGAGGCACGATAGCTTTTTCCAGAATCATTATGAATATCTACAGTAGCTGATGTATTTTGTGTTTTCTCATGAAGAGATCCTCCTTTTCTCTACTCAAGTACATAAGCCTAAGCCAGTTCTTCCCCAAGGATATTGGAAAAATGCCATAATGAAATGTAGCACACTAATGAAAGAAATGATTGAATTTCTTAATTTTGACTTATAAATAGCTTAAAGGAAGGTTGTTGTCGCAGT